AAACCTAAGACCATTCTAAAGATTACGCTTATTTTAATTGATTTTTTTTACTTGGTCTTGAGAGAAAATAGCATTTAAAAGTTGCTAAAGAATCATACTCATTGATTTAGGATCTTTAAAAAAACCTTTAAAAAATGAAACATTCATTTGAATTAAGTTTTTCTTCATTATTTGTATAAATAAGACCATGCTTTTGAAAAGAAAAAACAATTTGAAAATAATCTGATGGCAGAAGGTCACTTTTTGAATTAACCAGTTTGTATGGTTTTGTCCGTATAATTTAGTGTGATTTTCGACAAATATGCAAATGAGTTGTTATTAGAAATAGATGCGAGGTTCGACAATTTTCTGTAAATATTCTGACTTCTACTTTTATGTAGAAAATTTTAAGCCACTAAAAAATCCTAGGTTGCAACCTTCCATTTGGACGATTCTTTGAATTTTGCACGGACAGACTTTTAATGTAATTACTATTTTGTTAGTTGAACTTCCTTTGTCAAAATATTATAGAGTTGTAAATTTTCTGTCTTGTATACAAATCAATATATTTTTCATGTTTTAAAAAGGCAAACTGCCAAAAGTTATGGAACTTCTGTTTTACTTATACACTAATATAAGGTTGAAAAATTTATTGCAAGCCAGAATTGTGAAATGCAAAAAAAATTATTTATGGAATAAATGGGAAGGTCTATTTGATAATAATATTAAGTTTTAATCTGTTACAATACGTGAGGTTTTCCTTATTTTAGTGTATTTATATTGATATATAACTATTTTTCTCTCTCTTAATTTTAAAATATATTAATAAGTAAGCTTCCATGAACCAAAATGAATGAGTGTTAGTGAGAAAATAGGAGCAAATGGATAGGTATAAAAAGAATAATATATACTTGATATCGTATGTTAATATTCAGTTTATAAAAAAGGATAAATAAAAAATAAACAAATTCTTAATTATATATATTAGATTATAAGAATTTCATCTTTTTAAATTTTAAATCATTTAAAAGTTTTTTTATTTTCTTTTAAATTATTAATAAGATTATTTTTTGTATAATCGGAAGATAGAGATCAAGTTGATAAACTAAATGTCATTTGTCTTTTGGGCAAAAAAGAAAAAAAAATATTATATTGGTAATGTTAATATTTCGAGTAGGAATTAAACCTCTAAGTGAGAGGAGTAAATTGTTTTATACACAGTATTTATACTTATGTTGATTACAATGAAAAGTCAAGGTAATTGAGGTGATAAATTATTTGTATTTATTTTGTAGGGTCTTGGGGTCTTAAACATCCTTTTTATAGATGTTAATAGAAATAATCATTCAATTTTCCTTACGTTCATCATTTTGACCTGATGTATGTCTACGGACGGAATTTTTCTTTCTATTTTCCAATGGATATAGTTATATTTAGTTCCCGAACTACATTTCAATGTACGTTGTGGTATAATGTTTATCAGCGTATAAGTCTGTGCAGTAACAAATTCAATGCGACTATGTTATAAACATGTTGAGAAGCATGATTAATAATTCTTTTTATGTTTTACCTTCAGCTTCTCTAAATCTTTTTTTTTCTCTCTCTCTCTGTGTTTTAAAGGAAATGTTTTAATCATGTGTTTCTATTTTTAATTTATACAATGAAAATTTTCGTTAAGTGGAAAAAGAATTCAAATGAATATTTATCGAAGTAATTGCTGGTTAATGTCGAGGATGATAAGAGATATAATTCTGTAATGCAGCAGGTGTTGTTCGATTTTTAATTTCCAAATAACAATTTACGTTGACTTTAGTACAAATTGAAAACAAAAAATGTAAACATTTATTACGAAGTTTAAGTATATTAAAATAATAAAACGACCTTAGACTAAGTTTTTCTTAATGTGAGTGTTATTCTGACATTTTCACGTATTTCATCTGCATAGCAATTTAAATTCAGGGGTATTTACTGTAAATCAAGTTGTACGTGTATACTAAGATGTATCGACAAGGAAGTTTATTTCCAGATATTTTAAACCAGAAGATTTCTCTTTTTAATATTCCGTTGCACCCCCTTCGACCTGTCACCGTTGACCGTTTGCTTACTGACAACAGAGCAAAGAACTGCGAACGATAGCTTTGTTCTCCCGCCTACCGCCAAGTCAATTTTCAAAAGTTAACATATTTGAATGATTTTTCATATGTATATAGATATTTATATGACTTTTCATAAAACAGTACTTCTTTGGAAAAACAAAGAGAGATAACTCTATAATTTGGGTAAAACTTGTGTTTTTCACTATAGAATTCAACGGAAAACGGAAAATATTTTTAAAACATCCCCCCCCCGTGAAACAAAAATTCCTTTTTACAGGTAATATGTACTGTCATTTCACAAGTTCATACCAAAGCTTTTTGTGTTTCAGGGGGGGGGGGGGCATATGTTTACAAACAAAAAAACTACAATAATGCTTAATTTTTCACCAATTTCAAAGGGTTTTACAACTGAAATATTGAATTTTATTAATAATATATGTTTCATTTTACATGTGTAAAACATAAGAAAAGATTTAAGGAACATTTATTCATATCCAAGAATATTCTAAAATGTGTAGATGCTTTAAAGCCCGATTTCAATGGAAAATATCGTCTACCCCCCTTATTTTAAGAGCTTGAATTAGGAGTAATTAACTATTTAACACTGGCAATAAAATAATCAATCAATTACCATTGAACAGTTCTTCGCATTCAACAAAGATTTTACGGTCTAATTGCCATTAGTATTGAATTAATCGAGTGTAAAATGTAGGCGGGAATCGTGCGTAGTTCTTTCTTCCTAGTTTATGCTGTAATCGCTTTTAAAATTGCATGTGCAGATATTTTTCTTACGTAATTGCTAACTTAGCAAATTACTATATAGACAATATCATAACGTGGGATTCGTTATTCTTAAAATCTTTGAAAGAAAATTACACTCGACTAATGTACGACAGGCTTTTAGATCCACTCCCGAGAATCGTGTTCTTAAACGAGGCAAGCTATTGAAAAATATGCTGATGAATCAATAAAATCAATAGTGCGCTTAAAGTCAACATTTCGTAAATTCTATGATTGATACAATGACATTATCAGGAAATTCAGCCCATCGTTGAGTCGAATGCTGACATTTTTATACAAATTGTTAGGCCATTATCTCACACTTAATCGTTAAGATTTTACCGTTTGCTCGATAATGACAAGGACCACAGGGGGTGGGAGCGGTGGACAGAGATACTTACTCCTCTATGACACCTGACCCCACCTCTGATGTTTTTAGATGTCCGTATTTGCTCTGCTTCCTATTTGTATTGTTTCAATGGACTATTGAGCTTGATTCCTATTCGTGATCATCATATTCCATGATTGCAATTTGTGACATTATTATTTGAAAATGAAAAAAAAAGGATATGATTTTGAATCAAATTAATGTTATTCTGCTGGCAAATCTTTACTCCATGAAATTATAAACGGAGGGTATTTAAAAAATTCCAAACTGATTTTATGAAGTGTAAAGCCTTTTCGTAGACGTTGAAGTTGTAAACCTGTAATAAAGTAACAGTTTTTGTGATATATTAATTAATGGAATGACGTCATGGTTCCGTGTGCCCAGTATACCAGGTTTTGTAATACACGATGACGTCGTAAGCGGATCTATAATCATCGTTTTTGTTAAACAAATTGGTACCGAGCTCTGCCAGGACCAAAAAATATTATAATATGATAAGTCAGCTATTCCAGATTTCTCTTCATAGCTGGTTTATAGCTGCACTAAGGTCCAATTACTTTATCACGGATGATTTTTATCCCTCTGGTATCGTTCGTTGGTTGATTTATTATAAGGCTTTCTACTCTATTAGAAAAACATATTTCATGTGAACTATGACATGTTTTCAAAACAAAATATGAAGAACAAGACTCTCAGCAGTATAGATAAAACAGAAATAACTCCGCAAACACGCCTGTTTTTATGTGCATTTTAAGCATTATTTGTACAATCCAAACAATTACTGCGCCTCTCTTTGGAGGTTAAAATAATGAGTATGAGTTTCATAAGTTACAAATAATATCTATTTACCATGATTTTATTTTGTAAAAAAACATCGTATTTTGTACCCTTTATTTAGAACATGTATCGTAAAATCTTGCCATTTTTGAAAGATTTTTAACACGTCTTAGAACGATCTCAAAGAACACTTTAACTACTGTATATTACAAAGTCTACATAATGTCTTTCTAAGGTGTGCTCGAGGATTGTAATCCGAAAAATTAAATTCAAAAGTAAAAAACTCATTGATAATGTAATGTGTTACACTGACATTTGGAGGCTAATGTATAAAAGTTGAAACACTTCAATAAATTCTTAATAAATTCCGAGAATCGGATATTTGTTTCTTTGAACTTGAATACCGAAATCGCAGAATTTTAATTGCATTGAGTAAGAGGCCAATAATGAAAACGGAAAATATGTATAAAAATTCGATTTTTTCAAGACAACTAACTAAAAAAACACTCAACAGTAGCTTAACATTAGAGGCATAGACTATGTGGAAAAAAAAGCAATCTTTTCATTTTGATATTTGAATTGCAATTCGAAGTAATCATTTATGACAATTCATATTAACTTCAATAAAATCGATACTTAAACGATTGTAAAATACAGAGTACGTAACAGTTAGCCAATCACTTTTCTGTCATTGATTAAGGTTCTGATATATATATATATATATATATATATATATTTGGTGGTTGAAAGACCATTTAGCCAACTTTCACAGGAACGCAGCAGTTACTTTTTTTTCCTTAAAAAAAGAAGAAAAAATGAGCAATCAGTGTCTTATCTCTTTTATAGTCGGATTCATAGTTTTATCCGAACCTATCATTATTTCACAGAAATATACCGCATTACTGGAATTTAATGATAAGAAATCAAATAACGAACTTTTAGGAGAATATAATTCTCATTCATTGACCGAGTGTGCCGCAATGTGTCAAAGGGAATGCGTCTTCTTTGGTTTCAACTCTCAAATGAAGAAATGTCGTACCCACAAGAAAAGATTAACATCTGAGATGTCTGATGAGGCCGGTTGGAGATACTACTCTGTTAACTGTATGTATAATTGTTATTTCTTTTATGTCTGTTTGCTTGTTTGGTTGTTTGTTTTTTAAGATCCCATTCGAGAATTTTTCACTCACATGGAGATGCCACCACTTGCCAATGGAGGGCTACAAATTTATACTTATGTTCGGCACTCGGGAGCCATTGAGAAGTGAATAATCTTTTTCGTGCCAACACCTACTTCGACAGGGGACATCGGTTTATACAGTCTTATCCGAAGGTCCAGTGTCCACATCCCGCGGTGGATTTGAACCCGCGACGTAAGGATTAGCTCATTACTCGGCGACTCTAAAGAAGATGTTCTAACCACTGCGCCACGCGGGCGACTTTTTCTGTCTGACATAAATCACAAAAAAAAACACTCTAAACGCTTCATCTGCTTTTATTGCACTCCTTTAAGGTCGAAATGGTTTATCAATATTTATTTTTACCTAACCTACTATATAAATTGTAATTAGGCATTTTGAATTGTTTTCTGATTCATTTTAATGTTTTTGCACATCATGAAACAGTCAAAACTGTTTACCCAGTCATAAAATGAACTGTTGCATGGCTGAACTGATCCATTGTGACGTCATAATCAATTTCCCGTACTTTACAGCTATAATATTGAATTATGTATAAATTGAAGCATTTTCTTGGCAATAAATTTGAAACAATTATTCGAAGAGTAATCCTGATACCTATATAAATGTATATTCATTTTAATATCATTTGAAAGAAGAGGCCTAGAACACCTTTTCTGGAGGTAATTTTCGAAAAATGTAGGCTCCTTTCACTGACACTATAGATATTTGCTTTAAACGTCCGACTCAGCGTGTTATAATCAAACCTTCAAGTCATCATTATGTTGTTTACTAAACAATACATGTATACATCAATTTATTAGTGCATAAAAATACTCAGAAAAAATACAAACTTTTGTCGATGTGTTTATATCATTACTTTAAGAAATTATATAGTGGGTTAGGTAATAAAACACTTATTTCATGACAACTCGGGAAACAGTCAAACTGTTGTCCCTCGATAATGGGGAAGACCCGGGAAAATGTTGCCCTCGGCCTTCGGCCTCGGGCAACAGTTTCCCAGGTCTTCCCCATTACCTCGGGACAACAGTTTGACTGTGTCCCTTGTAGTCATGAAATAAGTGTATACTATTCACGATACGATTTTTCCCGTGAGATTACTGTTTTATGCGGTATAAACAATTGTGTTTTCAACATTATTAATTCTAAATAATATATTTGTCTCTTTACTGATTTTTTCTTATTATTTTTATTTCTAATTAATGATTAATTTGAGGTTGATGGAATTATATTTTGTGATTCCACTATTTTATCTTTCTTTACTTTCTGTTAGTATTAACTTTGATAAAAAAAATAAACTTCTATTGTATAGGATATATTAATGACAAATATAAGGTAAAATTTTCACACAGTGATTCTACAGTAATAATATTATTTTTTAGCTTAATGACACTGCATCATTCTTAACCATTAGAAAATTATAGCTTGTAATTGACTAAATAATCGAAAAAGAGAGCAATTTTAGTTAGGAACTCGAAATTGCTATCTTGCAAATAACTGTCCTGAAAGCTGGGTGGAGAATCCTGCGCCATGCAGTAGTAAGCACCCTCTGCCTACCGGTCAGATCCACCGTGTGTCCCTTGTCCTGATCTGGAAAACCGAAAGTTCGTGGACATTTCATTGTGAAAATAAAGGCCTTAATATCTGTGTTAAAGACGCAGTCTACATTCAATAAAACGACAGACTGTATTTGAAAACAAGGTCATTGTACGGACCTAAGAATTTAAAAATGTTCACTTTAACATACCTTATATCAGCTGAAAGAAACGATATCATTGCCATGTTTTTTTTAGAAGTAAAATTAGTTCTTTTTCACTGTCCACGTGGTACACCGTCTGATCTTTCAATGTATTCCTCATTAACATTCCTAAAAGAAATACAAATAATGTTCGAATTATCAACAGAGTATTGGGGTTAATTGTATCAAATTTTAAAAATACTTTTAACCATATCATAGATTAAAGATCTGAAACAATTAGGAAACCAAAATAATTTCATGTAATTAGGGAGAGCTGAACATAATCTACATTGTAGTTCACAATTTAGCTTCAATAATTAACCTTAATATATCTTGCAGGTATAATGTATCCTCTCACTGCCTGTATTTAGGCATAATATGATTACAGTATTTTTTTTTTCTTTTTCAGTTATTCCCTTAGATTGTAAGGATCTTCACGCAGATGGTTACACTGATACAGGGGTGTATGACATTTACCCCCATGGCACAATTACCAGTCCTGTCAGAGTTTTCTGCGACATGGAGACAATGGGCGGAGGATGGACGGTATCTAGTTTATATCAAAATTAAAAGTACAAAAAATAATTCACAGTCATTGTTCTTGTTGTTTAAAGGATTGTAAAATTTTTAAAAAAATATGAAAATTTTGAGTTTATATATCATAACACATTGATCCTACAATTCTTCTTTGAACCAATGAATTGTATTGCTATACATATTAATTTTCAAAGGCAATTCAGAAACGCGTAAACGGATCCCTGAGTTTTAACAGGACCTGGACGGAATATAAGAATGGTTTTGGTTCACCTGAACAGGACGTCTGGGTTGGTAAGTGTAAATCACTTTCAAATAAGGGATTTCACCCGCTACGAAGTTTGACAACATTTCTTTATTGTGGCAGATATAAAATTGAAGCGTATCAAAGATTTGGTTTCAAGACTGGGTAGTATGTTTCGACAATACTCACTTATCCTGTTTAATTTGTATCTTAAATAATAAGAAAATATTGAAAGCAAGAGGTAATTAAAAATCACTTAGTGGCATGGTATTAAAGAGACAAAAATTAGCACTAGTGTCTACAGCTTAAGAAAATAATTTGATTTTCATCAAGGTATATTCATATTCAAAATAGAATTAATTGTATGCAATAGTCTTTACAGTTGATTTTAAATATATCTTAATGCAGGAAATGATATAATCCATCAGTTAACAAAAGAAAACAACTCATTCCTCTATGCTGCCATCACTCTCCACAATGGTACAAGGCTGTATGAGTTGTACGATCGATTCTCGATCTCCGATGAAACAGAAAAATACCAACTCTTTCTTGCAGGACCGGCCACGGGAACCTTAGGTAAGTGCTTTTTTTATAGGTAAGTTCTGAAAACTGGGTTCAAATCAAGTGCACCATCATATAATTCTTTGCATATAATGTTTATTTAGCTGCTGAAAAAAAAAAGAGACAAAGAGACATGTTTCTCTAGTATTCTGTAAAGGTCTTTGATTCTGCGTTAAGCAAACTTCTTTTTTTGTATTTTACGATATCATTTGTGAGTACAATTCACAAATTCCGCAGGCATTGAATTAGTCACTGCTAAGTAGTAGAAATTTTAAATTGTATATCTTAAAAACCAAGAAAATTATGTTTAATTATTTGTAACTAGTATACCCAGTAACTAGTATATCCAGTAACGTGTATATCCAGTAACTACCTTTGATCCGCTATTGTTATTCAGCTTGAGTTTCTTGATGATTTTCAATAATTTACATTTTTAACTACTACTGATTAGGAAGTTTACAGTGCGTATTTGTTATGTAATGTCAAAATGTTTATGAAAGCTTGATGTTCAAAGAAAATTATTTGATCGGGAACATAGTCAAATTAAAACTGCCGAATTCAAAACATCTCAGGGCATTTCACTTTTACAATACCTATTCTATATTAAATGAACATCTTATATTTTAAAACCATCATTTCTTACCTTGTTTACATTTTGAATGATTTGCTTCGTATTGCATTTAATGCATTTTTAAGTCACGGTCTCTGACAGATATCAATTTTTAATATATTGGATATATTCTTTGTTCTAATATTCCCAGTGACCTTTACAAAAAAAAAATCGTTTTTTTTAATCATAAAATTGTAATACGCCTGGGGTTTATTGTTCCATTAGAAAGGATGCTGTATGAATTGCATAGCGTTTTGTATTGTATTTTTTATAAATGGTATCGCTATTTACAGAAGACAGCACGAGAAGCCGTCTATCTTATATGTACTTCAGTATTATTGACAATAAAATTAATGTGATATATTTACATTCCAAATGTATTTTGCTTATAAAGTGTGAGGAATCTACGGCATTCAAAACACCATAACACTGTAACACGGACAGGGGGTCAAAAGGTTAAAGTATGCGTTTTATTTTGACGTCACAAACGTTGAACGCCGTGGAAGTGCTATGTCAGGAGTGAAAATCAAAATCAAAATTCGCGCTCACATTGTACAGAATCTGTTGCAATGTCTCTTCTATTAATTTAATACAGGTACTTGTATGTAATGAAAAAATATATGTATTTGAACTTTGTAATTGTCATAATGATTTAATTTTAACACTTTAATAATTATAAGTTCAAAGTGAAGCCAAGGTCATCACTTGTCAGTAATCATCCACCTGTTTCGAAGATATTGAGGGTGCTAAGGGATAATACAGGGATTTTGAAATCTAAATCAAATTTACAGTCAATACAAGGAGTTAAAAATGTAAAATAATGTAAGCGATAACGCTCGTTACTCAATTCGTTTGCAAATACTTTTGCAGTTATGAGACTATATCCTGCATAAAATAATGATTCAATACTTAAATGAATCAATCTATTATCTCTGTGATGTATTTTCTCTACAGGTGACAGTATGTTAAACACGGGGGATTTTCGCTCCAATCTGTCTGGGATGTACTTCAGCACACCAGACAGGGATAACGACAGGGCTAGTGGATATAACTGTGCTGCTGACAGTATACGTAGAGGAGGCTGGTGGTTTAACTGGTGTCACTTCGCCTTCCTCAACGGTCCATGGTCCCTGGCAAACTGGAGGTTACCTTGGTATCCTACAGTAGAGAGTGGGACAAATGTGAGGCAGACCATGATGTTAATAAAACGTCACTAGGTAAACAACACTCAATCTTAAAAACCCGTATTTAATATTTGGTATTTCCTTGAACATTTTAAACGGTTATTAGAATATTCGTATGAGGTATAAAACATACACTTCTTTTTTTCTGAAACATTATTTAATTCTTTTATTTTTTTCATAAAACATTATTTAATTCTTTTATCTTTTTTTTTTTATATAAAGCATACCCTTTTATTTTTCTTAAACTTTTATTATTTTTTTTTTTTTACTTACAACAGATGGACATTCAAAATTGAGAGACCAGGCCTCAAATTGACCACGACCACCAATCAGTCAAATGAAACATTTCTGATAAAAAAAAGACAATTTTAAATTTATCATGGGATTCTATTCATTTTTTTTTTTTTTTTTTGATAATGTTATATATTAAGAGAGAAAACTTGTAAAGGATTGTGTTTTGAGGGGGTTTTGTGGTTGAACTATTTGCTGAAGCAATAATGTTTTATCAATTTTCCATACCAAATGTACCAAGTTAAAGCTGTACATAATATGTGTTGTAATAAATTTGAAATTAGAAATATTTCGTTCTTATTTACAAACACTGCCACACTGCCACATGAAGATGCCTTGACGGATAATTGGGATAAAGGTTGTTCTATTATAAAAAGTATTACAGTGGAAACTGTTTTCTCCGACACCTGTACAATCTGTGAATTCCGACATTGAATTCCATTCTCATTTCTACTAATTTCTATTATCTTTACACTGTGTAATCTCACATCATGTTTATTTTCTCCCAGTGCATGTCGGATAAAACAGGTTTCATTGTAATCAAGATATTTTATAACCTAATCATAATTAGTTACATTTGATGTTCATGTACCGCAGTACAATATATCCAGGATTAGGCTTCTTTAAAGAGATGTCCCCATCTTTTTTCCATGCATGCATATTTTGAATGGATGAGCAGACATAATCCATTATATACTTAATATACTTTATATACATTACAATAATTGCTTTTTTTGGATGCTCTTGTTCCATTTTTATTTTGTGGAAAAAAAATGAGCTAAATATTTGATGTCAGATATACTTCATATTTCTTCCTACAAATTGAATTATACCATTAATATTTTTATTTGGCTTATTTTTTTTTTTCTGGCAAGAAACGCAATGATGCCAGATTCGTACGTCTCAGAGGTCTAACGTTTTTAGCAAGGGTATGTTATGAGGTTAGAGTCAAAACATCACATTTTCTGAAATAAATATCTTTAATTGCTACAGATAATCATTTAAAAAGAATAAAAATTAGAGTTTTCCGCTCTTGAATGTACAAGATCCGTCATCGAAGACTTATATCGAAACTGTAATTTTTGTTCGGGTTGAAACACAGAAAGATATATTAACATTTCACAAGTATTTTGTTTATAAACTTTGTTGATAGCTACGCATTCAAAACACAATAGCAAAGACGGGGGGGGGGGGGGAGTTATGGTATGCATTTAACTCTGACGTCATAAAACTTCAACGCCGTGTAAGTGCAATGTCATAAGCAGAAATCAAAATTCGCGTTTACTTCTATTAATTGTAATCTACCCGAGGGATAATAAAAATATTTTTTTTTTATAAAAAAAGAAGCAAGGCGAGGAGTAAAAAAAAAAAGTATATATAAGCATTGAATCATTATTTTTTGAAAGATGCCGTCTCGAATCAGCAATGGTGTGTACAAACAAATTTTCATAAAGCGCTAGCTCGCGTTTCTCAATTTGTTTGCACTCACCGTTAATATTATGAGACAACATTTTTTTTAAAAATATGATTCAATGCTTAAGTCTGTGTTCAGACAATTCACTCTATTATGCGGTGTATGGACTATGATGCATATTTCCAAATAAATATATATATATATATATATATATATATATATATATATATATATATATATATATATATATATATATATATATATATATATATATATATATATATATATATATATATATAGACTGCAGTTTTGTACTTGTAGTCCAATAAAGAGAAAAACGTTTTTTCTAAGGAGCTGATGTTAATACAACAAGATGTTTTGGGGAAACAATGATGCCCTCGTATAGCCGCCTATGGCGAAGGTTGTCATTTGCAAGTCAAACTCTAAGGTCAAGATCAAATGATCATCATTGTTGGTACTCAAAAACATGGTCCTGTCACAATGAGTTCACCTTTGAAATATAAATGCTATAAAAGTACCAACAGTTCAATAATTATGGCCAAAGTTAAAGATTTTCAAAAGTAAGTCAAAACTTGTCAAGGCCAAAGGGCCAAAATTAATAGTACACAAATGAATTTCAGAAGAAATACACATGTGAAATGCAAAAGTTTTAGAATCGGTCATTAAAAAGTTATGACCGATTTTTATAAGTATGTCAAAGTCTGAGGTCAAGATCAAAGGGTAAAAAAATGTTTGCATTCAAGAAAAACGCTTGCCACAAGAAATAAAGCTGTGAAATATTGAAAACGTATAGCAGTTGGCGGGGTATTCTATTTTGCGCCTTTCGCGGAAAGCAGCTTCCGCTAAGTCAAGTACATCGCTAAAGGTCTTGTGTATATATGTTCAGGTACAGGACATTCAAATAGCGCTAAATCAAATTTACGCTAACTTGTTGAAAAACAATTTGCGCTAAATATAGTACGCTATATATAATACATATACAGTATTAAAGCCCTAGCACTAACCGTTCAGAAATTACAGCCAAGGTTAAAGTTTTTTTTTTCACAAGTAGGTCAAACTAATTAGGTCAACGTCAAATAATCAATATTGTTGGTACCCAAGAGATGGCCTTGTCAAAAGAAATGAACATTTGGGGCATACAATTACCTAATTTGACCGTTCATTAGATATGTCCAAGGTTTTTTTTTTTTTAAGTGGGTCAAACTCTAAGATCAAGGTCAAAATGTCAAACATATTTATACCCTAGGAAAGGTCTTTTCACACGGAATACACCTGAAAGAAATAAAAGCCATACCTCAAACCAATCAAAAGTTATGATAAGGTTAAAGATTTTTTTACGAACTAACAGAAAAACAGATAAACTGACCAACAGACAGACAGACAGACAGACTGACGGACTGACGGTCAGAGCAAAATATATATGTCCCCGAGTCTTCGATTACGGTTGCATCAAATTAATAATAACACTTGATGTTAAGTTTTTTTTTTCTTTGGAAAGAAGAGATCTGAGTGTAAGTTTCCATGAGGAAGTGCAAAGATAACGAGACGCCACATTGTACATTTTGTCTACATGCTATCCATAGTTTATTTAAAAACTTGAGGATAAATTTCTTCTCAGAAAACAAATATACTTCATAAAATTTAGAAGATTCCATTCAATTATTTTTTTTTTTTACTCACTAGTCTAACACTGCCATTTTTTTCAATGATAAAAATATAATGGTGGCAAAGTTTATTTTCATTTTAAAAAAGAAAAATTACGTAATAGAACATCCTTCCGGCTCCAAATAAAACGGAAAATCCTGACAAATAAAGGGAAGCTTTAGTCCATCTTCTCCTGTATAGTAGGTGCAATTCCTCTCAGAAACCCAGCGCCACCTACCGTCGTTATGATGTCAAAAGGAGGCCAAAGATAGGGTCAACCTCCGTCTCACCCTCGTCGTTTGGATTCTAGTTCTGATACGTCACAGGTGTCCAATAATCAAAAATAAGTCTTTCATGGTCGTCAAATGTCAAAACATTGGCACGGAATGCAAAAGAGCCATTGAGATCAACTTCTGCAGAAAAAAGAAAGAAAATAATATCATTATAGAAATACCGATATCTGTGTCATAACATAAATGTTCTAAACTCCATTTATATAATTTGTTTGTTGTTCTACACCCATACCATTTAAAAACTTATCAATCGATGAAATTGAACTTATGTATCGAAAACCAACAGATGTTCAAAGAGAAAGTATCCCATTTGCCACCAAGGTAAAAAAGTACAATTTTCTGATACATGTAAGCATAAGCCAATCTAGGCATAACTAAAATTCAATTTGGAGAACAAAGGAAAATAAGTATCGTTGGATGGTGTTTGAAAGTATAACCAAGGTCTTTTAAATGGAAAAAAACAATTGAAAAATTACAAATTTCATACACTGCAATAATCTCTGTTTCCAGGCTTCAATGAAGCTAGTAAACTAAAAGTTCTATAATTTAAATTTGTGGAATGCAAAAAAGAAAAAGAAAAAAAGAAAAAAAAGGAGTTTATACATTAATATAGATAAAAAGCAGTTATTATTTCTACCCAGTTGCAAATTAGAGAATTTTATTAAAATATCATAATATAAGGTTTATAAAACGTTTCTTAAGGTACTTAAAGATATGGTGAAGGAGTAATTAATTATCCGGATGTAGGCGGTTTATCCTTAAAAAATCTGATGTTATAGATAGTATAGTGTTATAGATAGCATAATTACCCGGATGTACTCGTTTAAGCTAGAAACCTCCCAGTAGATAAAGGTGTGTGATGTGAGAATTATATAATTACCAGGATGTATACTGTTTATCCATAAACACCTCCCAATAAATCAAGGTATATGATAAATAGATTGCATAATTACTGTATAAGGGATTAATTTCACGGGTTGTAATTTCCACATTCTTCTCTCCTCTGACACGATCGCGGTTTGTTGAATTCGCGGTATTATATGATATTATATATTTTATATAATAAAAGTTACCGCCCTTGTCTACATCCGTTTAATCCATAGCATAGCTAGAACGATATTAATCAGTACTATGTATTCAACAACAGGGTAGGTTTATATAAAATAGTTAAATTTATTAATTAATTGACGATTACATGGGTAATAAAAACAAGTGCAGTGATTAAAAGTCCTTGAGTATAAACGTCTAATGACTTTCTTATATGCTATTGCGATGAGTGCATATATACATCCCAAGATCTTTTTTCTGTAGGGATATCAGAGGGCACCGAAAAAACGCTGGACGGTAATAAATGTGTTAATGTAGATCGACGAAATAATATCCTTCCACATCTTCAGCAAGTTCGATAGTTATTTGAATGATTTTTTTTTAACCAAAATGTCGATAAAAACTAATACGCATGATAATAGGTAACAAATACACGTAGTAACATTAGTTACGCACAAGTAATCAAAAACAATGACCCACGTGTTTTTATTGATGAAACATGTAGCGTTGGCTATTAAAACAGCTTTTTAACAAATACAGGTTATTATTTTCTGATTTTAATTAAAGTAAAGCGTGATAATTAAAATAATTGAATGACAAGTACTACTCGTAATTACTGAAGAACCATGTACTGCACGTATATATACCTATCGTAGTAATCACATATTCTCAAATTTCCAAATAAAACATGGAAGTTACTGAAAACTTATTCACCACTTCTTGTATTCACGGATTTATTAACACCGTGATAATAGCGAATATTAACACCGCGAGTTATTTCCCCCCTATACAGTACTCGGAAATATACAGTTTACCCTTAAAAATCTCCCAGTAAATCAAGGTATGTGAAGTGATAGATTGAATAATTACCCAGATGTATACGGTTTACCCCTAAAAACCTCCCATATCCGTCCCCATACCAGACCAGAAGCTTTTCACCCGGTTCTACGTCACGGGACGTCATATAAAAGATGATGCTCTCGCACGTTATAGGGATGACATTTTCTTGCTGATATTTGGCGGGAGAGTTCACAAATCGTAACCAGTTACTACAGGATGGGTCTTCTGCATCTATGTTATAAGTACCATCGGTCCCCTGTTTACCTACCTTTAAAAAAATCTTAAATCGATCAGAAGGGACTCAATTGTGTATAAAATATTTACATACGGTGATGAAATACTTGAACATTTAAGGTGTCTTTCCGAGCTTGCAGGAAAGGCTCGAGAAGATGCGATTGAATTTAACACTATTTAAACTTTCAGAACGTTAACATCTAAATTATTTTCATTTCCAAATATTTTTCCTTAAGACACTTTGCAAATTAGAAAAAAAATCCTATTCTCATGAACAACCGTGGGATGAGTTAGAATATTTCCATTGTGACGTAATTGAAATAAAAAAAAATATAGTGCAACTTTTTTCCAGAAATGATCGTTGATTGAAAAAAATATTTGGTAAGTCATTAGAAAATAATGTAAATATAGGAAATGAATTCAATTTTTGAGAATTCATGAGGTTCATGAACTACAACGCTTCATGCCTGCATATTTATCATGGACGCTAACGCGCTTCATGAAATTTGCTGCCGTGAAGCCTCCTAGTTCATGCCCTGATGAATTCTCAAAAATTTATTCCTTTTTTTAACTGATACTTTTGACATAAGTTTAACATTCATATATTGTACTGTTTTTTCTTTAACAAATCATCATATGGATCAAAACATTAGAATCTTCGATACAAATGATTGATTATAGATTAAATTTATCTTCTGCTGTAGTAATTTTAACAGCCTTTTTGATGTCAAACTTTTAGATTTTATCCTTTAAAACATTCTTTTTCAAACATTATATATCGGGAGTATATAGAATGTCCTGTGTGTGGATATGGTATTGTACTTGATTTTGGATGATTCCTCAGATAAGTTTACCTGCCATGAGTAAAAATCATCCTTCCGGTCTACAGTGTGAATAAGTCCTTCATAAACCCCGAGGATCATGTACAAGATACTGTCAAGGACACGAAACATAGGTCAAGGACAGATAATTAAATAATTTTATGATGAAATATGTGGAGATAACGAATAGTATTCGAGCTCAAAAGCCCACTAAACATTACAAAATAAGAGCAAAGCAAACACGGACCTCTAAGACATCAGAGGTGGGATTAGGTGCCATGGAGGAGTGAGCATCCCCTGCCGACCGGTCACCCCCGCCGTGTGCTCATTGTCAAACTTCTTATTTGATTGAACTATGGCATTTAGTTAATTTCCAGGTAAATGAAAGTCTATTGAAAGGTAACCGTATGGTAGAGATCTACAATTCAGGCACCTTTCTGGACCCTTCAATGAACCAACATCAGTTGTCTGAGTGGCGTAGTTTCTTTCTGTGTTATCTTTTATTGTATGGCTGTATATATTGATCTTTAGAAAATGATTTTTTGGCAGTTGCAAAATATGACTTGAAAATATTCTAAATGATGCATGTTTCATTCTAAAATAGGATTCCAGTCATTTTGCTACATTTACATCCACTGAATATTATCTCCTTCATTTCTTAAGAAAACCATTGCCATTTATCACACAGTAAACACGGCTAGTCATATCACCTCTACAGATTCCTTGAGTAGTGGCTTTTCCATCAATGAAACATACAATGATGTATATACCAATAATACACGATTTCATCTACTTAATTCTACTTTAACTGATTATTTGTACAACTATAAATATAAACAATAAAATGTCTTTCTTTGTTTGTTAGTACGGGAATTAACGTTCCAGGCATTGCTGAAAACAAATTGCATTACGCGCTTACGCTGCAACATTAATTCCCGTACTACAACCAAAGAAAGCATTTTATTGTTTGCATACATACCTTTGCATTAGAAATGTGTCTATATTTAGACATTTTTACACCTTGTTTAATGTAATCTGCACAAACTTCGAAGAAAAACAAAATTGCATTAAGACTTTCCCAGGCACGCAAAACATATTATTTTCATTCGAAATGTATTATCCTGACAAAAAAGAGTTGATAACGTCGGTTTTGTTAATACCATAACAAGACCATAAAAACAACTTGCTAATAAAATAAAGCACTAACTTTTTTTTTTCAACGAATGAGTGCATTAGCTTAACAGAATGGAGTTATTTTAAGAAAGTGATACTTTATTAATTCACCATGAAATTGATAAACGTGGATGAAAGTATCAAATTTTAAATTTGCGCACACGGTTTTTTACAAATTAATTTAAGAGAAAATATGGACAAAGCACATTCCAAGATCAAAACAGATTTTTTTTTTTTTTTTTCTATTTAAAGCCTTTTGCCCTTAATTAGGTATTGACAAAATCTAACCCAAAAAATGCAACTCTATAAGATATTTATTGGTAAGATTGTGAAAAATCAGGATTATGTACAATTAAAGGATGGCAAGGTTCTATGGGGTAAATTTCCTTCAAAAGAAAATGACTGATACAGTATTTATTATTCGCAACAAAAGCAAACAACCTCTTCCTGATAGCAATATTTTACGGGGTAAATTTTCCATCAAAGAATATCACTTATACAGTATTTACTACTCATAGAAAAAAAAAACTTAGAAAATCGCAAAACTCTACAGGGTCAATTTCCTATCAAAAATAACTGAGCTACGGTTTATTTATAGTAATTCAAAGCAAAGATAACAATCTTGATGATAGCAAGACTTTATGGGTAAAATCCCTCCCCCCTCCCCCCCCCCTCCCCCCGCCCACAGAAAATCACTGATACACTATCTATGATTCACAACAATTTAAAGATAGTAAAATCTACAGGGTAAATTGCCTTTCAGAAACGACATTGATACAGTTTACCTATAATAATTCAGAGAAAGAGCAAGCATCATGACGATAGCAAGATTTTACGAGGTAAATCCCCCTAAAGAATATCGCTGATACAGTATTCACTACTCTTATAAAAAGCGAACATCACACATAGAAAATCGCAGAACTCTACAAGGTAAATTCTCTCTCAAAGATGACATTGATAGAGTTTATATACAATAATTCAAAGCAAAAGCATCCATCTTAATGAAAGCAAATTTTTACGAGGTAAATTTCCCCCAAAATAAAATCACTGATATGGTATTTATGATTCACAACATCTTAAAGATAGCAAAAATCTACAGGGTAAATTGCCTCTTAAAAATGACATCGATGCAGTTTACATACATTAATTCAAAGCAAAAGCATCCATCTTTTAGATAGCAAGACTTTACGGGTTTAATCCCCCCCCCCCCCCCCAAAAAAAGAATATTACTGATACAGTATTCACTCAGAGAAAACATTACACTTCGAAAATCGCAGAACTCTACAGGTAACTTTCCTCTAAAATGACATTGATATAGTTTAAATACAGTGATTGAAAGCAAAAGCAACCATCTTGCTGTTAGCAAGACTTAACGGGGTACCCCCCCCCCCAAGAAAATCACTGATGCAGTCTTTATGACTCGCAAACATTTTTTTAAGATAGCAACAATCTACAGGATGAATTTCATCTCTAAATGACATTGACACAACTTTTATACAGTTTTTCAAAGCAGAAACAACCGTCTTTTTGATAGCAAGACTTTATGGGGTAAATTTCCCCCAAAGAATATCACTTATACAGAATTTATGCTTCGCAATATCTTGGAGGTAGTAAAACTCTAGGGTAGATTTCCTCTCAAAAATATTACTGATGCAGTTTATTTCATACTTAGAAAAATCAAACATTACACTTTTAAAATAGCAAGTATGTACGGGGTAAATTTCCCTCTAAAGGGTATCTCAATGATACAGTATATATTATTCAAAGTATGTACAAACGTTGCAACTTGATGATAGCAATAATTTACGGCAGAAATCCCCCCCCCCCAAGAAAATAACTGATATAGTTTATATAATTCACAGAAAATAAACGAACATCTCTTTCTGAAAACAGAATAACTTTTCAAGGTAAATTTCCTCTCATAAAAAAAAAAAAAAAAAAAAAAAAAAAAAAAAATCTTTATATATCCTTTTTTACAGAAAAAGCATTCATTACATCTTGATGACAAAAAAGAATATCAATAATATATTTTTTTTTATATTACAAACGATACTTTTATTTAAAAACCATGTAAACTGGAAAAGCTAAATAATATTACACCTTCTAAACATAAAAAAAAACATTTCACATCTTTCTTCCACTGTTAAAGGAATAATATTTCTTCTCCTCCCGTTACACTTTCTTTTTTTAAAACATCGTCCTCCTTTACTATCTTTGACCGAAGTTCCACTTCGATGCTTTTCTCTTGGCTGATGCAATAGACAGATTGCAGAGTTCGTTTTCCAAAGGAAGTCTGGCAACCATATTCTGAACCAATCCATAGTCGACCTAAGGATGAAATTTTAAGTCTCATAAATCATCTCATATAGTTATTAATTAATGTTCCAAAGCCTTAACCATTTTTAAGCATGATTTCATGACAGATATGACTGTTCTGACAGGACATATCATTACAAGTATTACTGATGCCCTCTAGGTCCATCATGAAAGTTTTATTAAAGGGGAAGTCAGAGAAGTAACTGATAGCATATGCAGATAGCTTTACTTCAACCTAAATTGTGGTTAAAGTGCTTAACATTTCAGCCTCAGTTTTTTCACGTAATAAAGAAAGCAACCAAGTTCCGAAATCCTCATGCTGGCGCAATGGAATGATAGATCAGGAACTATTCAAATGTAGATCCTGCTTAAGAATACATATATCGTCACATATATATAATTGTATATTTACCTTGATTGTTCAAGATTTTGTCTTGAATTTGTAACTGTTCAAGCACAAAACAGTTACGTTAGTGCCTGTGTCCACAAAACTGAAAAATCATCTAGTCTGGTTTCCTTTCCATAATTTGTTGTCACCCGCGTAGCGCAGTGGTAAGAGCGTGTGCTCTAGAGTCGCGAAGTAAGGAGTTGATCCTTACGTCGCGGGTTCGAATTCCTCTGTGGGACGTGGAGACCTGTCCTTCGGATGAGACCGAATAAACCGAGGTCCCGTGTCGCAGTAAGTGTTGGCACGAAAAGGATCCCTCACTGCTCAATGGCCGTAAGTGCCGAGCATAGGACAACATTTGGATCTCTCCACCGGGAAGTGGTGGTGTCTCCATATGAGTAAAAAAATTCTCGAGAGGGACGTTAAACAAAATACAAACATAATTTGCTAAGAGTTCTTTGTGATCTTGGCGTGGATGAGCCGTGGAACTAGGTAAATGAACACCGCCCATATCAATACGGCCAATAATATTTAAATTTCCAACAAACATTCCATCATGTAGGGTATATTACAGGGAAACGGACAAAAACAACTAAACACATTACTTATAAGGAAAATGAGTGAATATATCAATAGTTGGTTTCGAGAAACAATTGGGGTGATGTGTTTCTCATCATGTTACTGTTTACTTGTCCGCTGCGTATATTTAAGCTGTTAATCAACCCTTGTATTGGTTAATATTGCGGCCATGTCATAAATCTGACCTAAGTTAAGATGTAATTTCTAAATTTTCTAAGCATCCAGATCTTTATCTATGAAAAGCACAAGTTGCACTCCTTAAAACTTGGTGATATTTTACGCATACTCTACTGCAATTACATATGCATTATCGTCGCCCGCGTGGCGCAGTGGTTAGAGCGTCTGCTCAAAAGTCGCGAAGTAAGGAGTTGATCCTTACGTCGCAGGTTCGAATCCCACTGTGGGACGTGGAGACCTGTCCTTCGGTTGAGACCGTATAAACTGAGGTCCCGTGTCGCAGTAGGTGAGGGCACGAAAAAGATCCCTCACTGCTCATTTGCCGTAATTGCCGAGCATAGGAAAAAAAATTGCATCTCTCCACCGGCAAGTGATGGCGTCTCCATATGAGTGAAAAATTCTCGATAGGGACGTTTAACAACATACAAACAAAACAAACAAATATATGCATTATCTATTCACGTGGCAC